TCTGCAGCTGTGCATTCACATTTGGGTACCAAACTCTCTCATTGCATCAATAAGAACAGATCTTAAGTGGTCCTTTTCCATTTACCTTTGCACCTTTTGTTCTCCAGCCACACTGCTGGCCAAGTGACGTTCAAAATGCAAACCTTTCTTCTTACATCCTTAATACAAAGGTTAATTTCCCTTTCCAGCTATCTTTTTTCAAACATGGCCCTTTCATTCTCAGCCTCTTAAAGATGTTTCTGTTCCAGGCTTGCCTTCTCACTCTTATTTTCTTCTTCCCTTAGAACTATGATGTCACTTGCTTTGGCCTCTTCCTTCACTGGGAACATTGAAACTTGCCAGCTCTTAAGTCTCCCTAGGTAAAAGCTCCCTGGTTTCCATTTCCTCACATTTACAAAAGCTCTGTAATCATTGCCCTTGTATCTTACAGCTGTCAGTGTGTTCTTACCTGATATGTCTCAAACTAGATCATAAGCTCCCATAGGATCCCATGTACATTAGAAAATGCTTTGAATTAGCTGCTCAACTTATATGAATGAATGAACAGGCTTCAGTATGTGAAAGATACTGTACCAGATATTGCACGGACAGTGAAGGAAATATGAATTTTTATATGACTAGCACTGTGTAGGTGAGGAATCTCATGGGAGAACAAATACAAACATGGTCTCTTGTAAACAACCTCAAACTTACTTCTTAGCCCAGCACTGCTTAAGTTGTGATGTTCCTGCCTCCATCACCCATGTTCTTGGGCCACACACACGTAGTGCCATACTTGCTGTCTGTGGGCAGTGCTTCAGGAATTCCAGGCAAGCTCTTCAATCACTCAGCTCTGTGCTCTCTCTCTCTCTCTCTCTCTGAGAATCATTTCAAATCCAAACAAATGTAAAATTTTGAAGGAAAATGGGTAATATAAATGTATAGGTATTAAACATATTTTTATTGTATAGATACTTATGCTTTCATTACCCTGAGGAAAATTATAAATTTATTCCTATAAAATTTAGAGGATAGTTTTCAAATATTTGTTTGAAATTTTGGACATTGATAGAAAAAATATTTGCAAAAGATATTTTGTCCACAGTAAATTTAGCCTCATTATTTAAAAATGAGACTCTATAATTTATCAGAATATACTATTTTATAGTAACAAATTAGAATTTTATATTGAAAAGTATATATAACATATATATTATATATACAGTTATATATATATATGGAGTATCTAATTCATACGTGAATGAGAACATATGGTAAATATTTTATTTTTAATTTTTGATTTGATTAGAATGCTGATTATAATAAAGTATCCTTAGCAATTTTACACAGGTTTCCAATCCTACTTGAGATGCTGAGGGCAGGAGAATTGCAAGTTTAAATCTTGTCTGGACTCAGAATGAGTTCAAGGCCTGCCTGACTACAATTTAAAAAGGAAAGGCTGCAATCCACCTCAATGGTAGAGTGTTTGCTTTGTATGCACAAGGACCCAGGTTCACGCTCATGCACTACAACAACAGCAACAGCAACAACAGCAGCAGCAGCAACAACACCAACAACAATTTATCCATTATAGTTTATTAATAGTTTTCATTTTCCCAGTTATTGCTGGGGCAGTAGTTGTGATCCACACACATACAGCCATACTCTCACCCCTCAGTCTCCCTATTTGTAGGTGGAAGTATTTAAGGATTAAAACATGTCATATCATTCACCCTAAGAAACAACCTCATAGAATCGATGATCAATGTAGGTGATTTTTCAGGCAAGGAAACTGATTGAAAGCTTTTGAGACTTGGTATTATTTTGGAATAACAGCATTGGTATTAAGGTTGCCCTCTCATTCCTATATTTTCTAATATTAGACAAGTATTTGAATAAATCATGCCAGCTGTCCTTGTTAAGTTCCCTTCACCCCCTAGTCCACTGCATAGTGCTGTTTTGAGGCAGGATACTGCTCTGTAGCTCAGGCTGGCCTTCAACTCAAGGTACCTTTCCTGCCTCAGGCTCTAGAGGGGTGAGATTGCCAATGGGAGCTACCATACCCAGGCAAATTTGATTTTTATATTTGAACATAAATCAATCAGTATGCCGTTGGTTGAGACTGAAATGGAGACAGCAGAGTTTATTGAAAAATGCTCACAAAGGCTTCATTTTTGAAATGCTTTTATTGTACGTTTTAACAGTGTAATCTGCCTGTAATTTATAGAGTAGTACTTTTAGAATTATGTTAAATTTTGGTTTACATTTAGAGAATCTAGTCTTCATTGGAACACCATAGTTTGTATAGATTTGTGAATCAACCACTTTATTGCTTTAATTCCATTATAGGAAATACACCGTAAACTTCAGTTTGCCTAATAGAGGATTTGATTCTCACAGAATTCGCATATAAATAATGGAAAAATATATTTTTCCACAAAACACTTTCAGATCCCCAGTTGTTATTTAACATCTAAACTTATCTTTCTTAGAAGCATGTGGTGTAATGTTAGCAGATTCTTCTAAGCCTCCTTGAAACATACTAGGTATGTTTAGTAACTGATAAATTATGTGCTTTTGGCCTTGGCCGTTTTCATTTTCTTCTATGATTCCTTTATCTGCCTGGCTCATCAGAATAAGCGTCGCTCATTTCTACTTTAGATTTACTTTGTTGTGCAAACCTAGTGTCTGTTTTACTGATGATATAAATATTTATATCACCCCAGACTGTTTTTATAGCTCTGTTTTACGTTTCCAGAGTCATTATCTTTCTTTATTTAACACAAGATATGCGGAGTCATTTATAATTTATTGAGTATTTGACGAGATGAAGGTTCACATGCTGTGTGTTTTGCCTCATCAGATCCAGGGAATGTCTCAGTTTTGAGTGCAATACCCTTCACGGGGAAGACAGTGTCTTTTAGATCATTGAATGAAAGTTACAGTAACTGCGGCCAGGAAGTAATTCTCAAAGACTGAAATCCAGCTAGGTTCACAGGGTGCAGAGCGTGTCCCTTGCAAAAGTTACCAGAAATGGAATTGTATCCATTGGCCTACAGCAAGCATGGAAAGCATGTAGCTTGCAATTTCACTGCTACCTATTTCCAAATACTAATAAGAGCTTAGAAAGTGAAAACTATATAATCACTCTTCTAGAAATTTCTACATATAAGTGAAGAAAACAGAGAAACCACTTTTGTAGAACATTCTAGAAAATTGGTGGGTTTTAAAAAAAGATTTATTTATTTTTTAAGTTACGTGTATGAGTGTTTTCCTATATGGATGTCTTGCATGCGAGTGTCTGGTACTCACAAAGCCCAGAATGGGTTATCAGATACCTAAACTGGAGTTCAGAGGGTTTGAGAGCCACAATGTGGCTTCTGGGGATAAAGCAAGTGTTCTTAAGCTTTGAGACTTGACTCTTGACTCTTAAGATTATTTTCCTCTTTTAGTTTTTGGCTTTCTTATTTTGAATCATTGTATATTACATTCTGATAGTACCTTTATTGAATTTGTATTAGTCATCATTTGTGACTTTTTAAATGTTAAGTAGCATATAACTTTACTTAGAAATTACTATTTAAATTTGCTACACACCACTGTTAATATACAGGTTTTGTTGGGCTGTGGTGTGTACATGGGCTCGGGTCCTATGGGTTAAATTGTGGGTCCCATGTCTGTTGCCTCAAGGGGCTGGGGCCACAGCTCATGGAGGCAGGGGTGTGGGAATTTGATTCTGTTTCCTCCAGGCTGGCACCAGGAAGATGTTGGACTGTGAGAAGCCATGGGACTCCTTTCCGTGGGTGGAGGGAACACAGTCTGGGGCCCACAGGCCAGAGCTTTTGAGTTGTTGATCCACGGTCAGGAGGCAACTGGATCGGACTGGTCTGGTCTCAGACTCTTGGGCTCTCAGGTGATGCTGGGAGGCCACAAAAGGACAAAGAAGGAGGAGCATACAGGCTGGATAGATCCAGAGCCAAAGGAGCCAAGTGGGAAAGATGAGCTCTGGTTGCTTCCCAAGGGAGTGAGACACTTGGGTCACAGAGACTCACTTGCCTGGGCCTCGGCTGGCTTGGCTTGCTTGCTTGAGTTGGTGGCCTCCGTGGTTGGAAGTATAGAGAGGTCCTCCACAGGGAAATTAGACTGCTGCTCTTTAGTTGAAGACCTCCACACTCTCCCACTGCAGGCCCCAAGGAAGAGAGATAGTCCATGGTCTTAGGCTATGATCTTATGATATTTATTGTCATGGCAGAAAGTGGATGAAGCTATACCCCGTATTCTCAGGGCAGGCCTGAGGTTAAATACCTTTTGCAAGGGGGAGGGTCTGGGAAAGAATGCTTAATTGGCTACGCCCTCTGGCCTTTAGATATCTCATTAGTATGGAGATCTGTCTTGAGGCTCTGTGGCCTGTAGTCATGTCTTCTACCTGTGCTATGTGACCAATAGCCCCAAACCTTTCTGTGGGAGGGGCTATAGCTATGTGAAAGGAACCAGGGGCCCAGGAGCAAAGCTGAACTCCTACCATCCCTGGGGATCTCTGAGGTTCAAAGCCTGCTCAGCTAGGTACCCAGCTGCCACTCACAGTCCCACAAGCTTTCATTCACATTGATTGCCCTAGTAGAAAAAGGAAAGGATGAGTGTCCTTGAAGTTATCTGCTGTGATAATGAATGAGAAAAGTTTCCACGAAGGGAACTTCATAGTTGCTAAATTATTTATCACCTCTTGTCTTGTTTTATGGTTATCTTTAGTGACACCAGAAAGCATGCGGAAGTTCTCTAAGAGAGACATAAAAAGAAATTCATTTGAAGGGTAGTCACTACCTGGAGTTGGGCATGGTAGTACATACCTGAAGTCCCAGGACTCAGAGGGCATCAGTATTGGGGATATAGAGTCAGCACTAGTTATGAAAAGAACATAAGGAAGAAAAGAAATAAAAATACATATTACTATATAACACTATATATTATGCTCATGCCTTTTACAATGATTAGTAAATAATTTCCTGCCTTTCCCCCTTCAGCATGTGGAGAAACCCTACAAGAATCCAGTGGCAACCTTTCCTCCCCAGGATTCCCAAATGGCTACCCTTCCTATACACACTGCATCTGGAGAGTGTCTGTGACCCCGGGAGAAAAGGTAGTTTATACCCGAGGAGTTCTCCTTCAGTCTCCTCTAAGTAAAGTATTTTACTAATTTTAAGATACAGTTTTCTTATTGTTTATTTACCATTATTGTTCCTTATTATTATTTTGCTATGCTGGAGATTGAACCCTGGGCCTCAAACATGCTAGGCAAACACTTTAGCAGTGAGCTAGAGCTAGAGCTAGAGCCAGAGAGCCAGAGAGTGAGAGAGCCAGAGAGAGCGAGAGAGCCAGAGAGAGCTAGAGAGCTAGAGAGAGAGCCAGAGAGCCAGAGAGCCAGAGAGAGAGCCAGAGAGAGAGCCAGAGAGAGAGAGCCAGAGAGAGGAGAGCCAGAGAGAGGAGAACCAGAGAGCCAGAGAGCCAGAGGAGAGAAAGCCAGAGGAGTGAGAGCCAGAGGAGAGAGAGCCAGAGGAGAGCCAGAGAGAGCCAGAGAGAGCCAGAAAGAGCCAGAGAGAGCCAGAGAGAGATAGAGAAAGCTATAGAGCCAGAGAGCCAGAGAGCCATAGGAGAGCCATAGGAGAGCCATAGGAGAGCCAGAGAGCCAGAGAGAGCCAGAGAGAGCCAGAGAGAGCCAGAGAGAGCCAGAGAGAGCCAGAGAGAGCCAGAGAGAGCCAGAGAGAGAGCCAGAGAGAGAGCCAGAGAGAGCCAGAGAGAGCCAGAAAGTCAGAGAGCCAGAGAGAGCCACAGCCACAGCCACAGCCACAGCCACAGCCACAGCCACAGCTAGAACAAGAGCAAGAGATATGGCTATGGCTATGGCCATGGCCATGGCCATGGCCATGACTATGGCAACAGCTACCGCTTCTCACTGCGTTCTAATCTGAGGTGGGGTGTTTGAGAGTTGCCCAACCTGTCTTTAATCAAACTCTCTAGCCCAGATTGGACTTTAATTCATAGTCCCTCTGCCTCTGCCTGTCAAGCAGCTGGGATTACAACTGGGATTCGATTATCAAGCCTTTGTTTTATTTTTATTTCATTCTTCAAATGTTTAAATAAAGTGAAAATGGCTCAAATCTAGAGTTTTTGAAAGCCTTGATTTAAAATATTTTTGAATGCTTTAGAATTGTTGATGTAATATTAATTATATAATCAGATACAATATAATTGACTGGAAAACCATCAGAAAGACAAAATTCCTGTATTTTAAAAATATAACACACACACACACACACACACACACACACACACACACATACACATACACATACACACATATATATATATATATATATATATATATATATATATATATATATATAAATTAGCCAAGAAGAACTTATAAGGAATACTAGAAAGTATTTGTAACTGTAGTTTAGTAAATGTCTTGAATGCCAAGCCTGTAAATGCCACGAAAGCAGTAATTAGCGGGAAGTTAACAGAGCTAAGTTGCAAGAGGAACTAGTGTCCATAATAGACTCAGCTCTATAGCCATAGACACATTAGAAGAAAGAGCATGGACTGAAATAAAAGTTACTAGAGAAGCAAAAATATAGACGAATAAAGTCATAGTAAAATGGTAGAATGGTAAACAAAGTTCCAAATAGTAACAGTTTTCTTTTGTAAAGGACAATAGACAGAGACCAAGAAAGATTGATGATGGAGAAAAAAAAGCTGGTTAATGTTTCCTGAAAAAAAATTATCATAAATACAAGATTTAGACAGGAAAAGAACCTAAATATATATTTTGAACATTGTGTCCACACTTAAATTGTGTAGCCATAGTTATTTTTAATAGATTTTTTCAACAAGGAAATCTCATGTTGAAATGGCCTTTATCTGTGAGAATCTCCCAATAATTATTTTCAGAAGACAGATAAAGAAAATATCATACCTACATGGAAATAAAACCTTGGCATTGATATCAATATAGACAGTGAAGACAGGGATTTATATTCTCCCAAATCACATTAAACCGGAGACATAAAATCCCACTAAAGTTACCAAACAAATTCAGATGCTTGTATGTGTCCATCTATGAATTTGTGTATATATGTGTACTCTATGCATATAACCCATTAAATATGTCTTTTGACAATTCTATTAATGACTATAAAACAACAGTAAACCTTGATCAAATAAGGCAGGGAAAATACTATTTATTATTACAAGTTTTACTCTAATTAAGGAAATTTAAAATTTATTTCTTTTCAGATAGGTAAAAACCAAGCCTATAGTTTTCTTCCATTTTTTTCAATATTGTTCTTGGGAAACAGCCTACATGTTAAGGCAAAAGAGTGAAAATAAATGTGTAAGTTCAAAAAAAGATTAACAAGTCTTTATTTTATTAATTGTGTTAGATTATTACATTAAAAGCAATAGGTAAGACATAGAATAAATTACTTCATTAATTTCTCGTTTCTGTGTTAAAAACAAACTTCATACCTGTATTTGTCATAATAATGTCTCTCTGCATTAACATTAACAAATATATATTGATATTAATCTTTGGTTTTTCAAGTTATTGTTTGAATTGAATTTGACTCTGTAATTCACATGGAATGACTGTAAGCACACCCATTAGCCTCAGTGTAACACTGAGTTACTGAAGATCACATGTCAGTTCTTCTTAGAGATGTTTGGTGATTTTAAGTAACAGCATGGATACAGAGCTGTCCAGGGTCTTCTGCTATTCATAGAAAGAGTCTTTGAAAATGTACTTATGAAATAAAAATAAATTTTACTCACAAAAGTTACTGATTGGTTTCATGAATAACCTTATAGTTCATATATCTGTTTGTAATTTAAGAATTATGTGTCTATTGAAATACAGTTATATGTTTTGGTCACTTTTGTGTAGGTCACTTTAATAAGTCACTTCTGTGGTATGAAAAACTATGCCTCTGATTGTTTTCTTTGTGGCCTTTTGGAACAGTTTTTCCAAGTAGCTGTGGCGCACCTGACATTTACTGTTTACCACAGGCTAGCCTTGATGTCATGGTAACCCTCTTGCTTCTGCCTTCCAAATGCTACAATTATTTGTGTGAATCATCAGACTCAAGCTCACTATAATTTTAAAAACAAGATCTTGTAGTATTTGAAAACATTTGAAGCAAGAGTAATAAAAGTTGCTTTAAATTACAGCAATGAATAACTGGCATTATCCCCTCCAATCCTGTTGAAATGCATCATACTATTAGTATTTAGAACTAATTCATTATTCTTGTATGATTACCAATAAAAATATTTTCTAAAATGTTTCCAGAAGAAATCAACAATTGTATCATCTTTTTTCTTATTGTTCTTTACATTATTTATGATAACTGGTGGATACATTAAATTGTTATAAGTTAGCAATGAAGATAATTAATTCATTTCAGACCTTGTGTGTTTTTTTCTTATAATTTGTGATTCTATGCCTTCTGGACCTCTAAGTTTATAGTAGTCATATTGAATTTATATGTTTCTGTACAAACAATGGATACTGTAATGTCTCTCAAGCCCACTTTACCTTATTCTAATCAACCAATCATCTCATGCTTTGGTTATTATTACATTCTAATTATTTTGTCACATTATTTTTCTCAACCTAAAATTATTTTTAGCAAAATTCACTTTCTAATTATAAAATATGCTTTTCACATTTTTTCCTTACTACTTTCTCTTTTATTCTTCACTTAGAAAATAGTTTCTAACTGATGTGACCTTGGGGAGACCAATATTTACAAAGAATATTCTCTGCTTTAACCATATATTGTAACCAATAATGCATGCAAGTTTTCTGTTTCATCAATCTTTTATAAATCCGTTATAAGTTATAAATCAGAATATGGCTAATATTCCTGCTGCTGTTTTTATCCTATCTTATAATACAGACTTGTGCCGCAGTTTACCATCATTCTGTAGTTGTCTTAAATGTTTACGTTTTTGTTTTCTTTAAGTGAATTTATCTCATTTTGTTTTTAATATGTATTTAGGTCATATATTATTATATATATAATAGACTATTAAATCCTTAGAATATTATATATTTCTGATATACTTATCTGGTTTTACTATATAGGGATTTTCTATCTCTAGGCAGGGTTCACTTTAAGACTCTGTTTAAAATCAAGCAGGAGGGTGCATGCCTTTAATCCCAGCACTTGGAGGTAGAGTTCAAAGTTAACTTAGTCTACATAGTGAGTTCCAGGACAGCAATGGCCATATATAGAGACCCAGTCTAAAAATACAAATAAATAGATAAATAAATACATAAATAAACAATCAAACAAACAAAATGTAACCCTCTTTTCTGATACTGATACACGCACACGTTCTTTTGAGTAGTTGTGGGTATTCGCATGTCCTGCTTTATGCATTCAGTGGTCTTCCTAACCCATAGTGATAACTTTATGGCTTACATACAATTCTTATCACAGTGATATTTACTGTGATTTTTGATATTACAGCTTACTAGTGTTTTGTTTGTTCTTTCTTGTTCTTTCTATATATGGATCATGAGTTTTTTCTCACAGGATTGAGTTATAAATTCACAATCTGTTCTTATCATTCTATCAGTTTCTTTTTCTTTAAGATTAGATTTAAAAACAGGGCCCCCTGTGTATTCACCATGAAGTCACTGGCTGCCACTCTGTGAGTGAGATGTTCCTCAGACCAATGGTGATGTCTTCCATTTCAATTTCGAATCTTCACAGATAGACTAGAATTATATTATCAAGTGATGTGCAGGGTTCAAATTCTAGGAAGAAGAAATTGTGGTTACTGGCAATTTCAGTAATAGCACTTCTTGGAACATTGATCTGGGTACACTCTGATAAAGAAAACTTGGGTAGGAAACCAAACAAGAAAACATGAATGTGGAAAAGCACTTACAGTATAATTGAAAGTTAAACATCATATACCTAAATGTGTCAACTTTTAAATCGCATGCACCAGAGGCAAAATTATAGGTGGATGAGTAGTTCACTGTGTGAAGCTCATGAATAGATTTTATTTTCATTTCCTCCAATTCACATTTCTCCTTTTCATTTTCTCTAATACACATATCTTACTGAT